TGTCGCCTTATCTCGATCCCGCAATCCCAAACAGGTGAAAGTCTGCATCGAACCGGTCATTGTCATGCTGGAATACCCATCCACGACCCATTTTCAATGCCCTGGCTGAGGGATGGAGGTTCTCACCCAAGATTTGACGGTACATGGCCCCGTCCATCGTACCTTTGATGCGGTGAAGTTGTCCTGTCCCCTTAGCAGAAAAACACCCCCAAAGCATAATGTTTCCACCTCCATGTTTGATGGTGGGGATGGTGTTTTTGGGGTCATAGGCAGCATTCCTCCTCCTCAAAAACACGGCGAGTTGAGTTGATGCCAAAGAGCTCCATTTTGGTCTCATCTGACCACAACACTTTCACCCAGTTGTCCTCTGAATCATTCAGATGTTCATTGGCAAACTTCAGACGGGCATGTATGTGTGCTTTCTTGAGCAGGGGCACCTTACGGGCACTGCAGGGTTTCAGTCCTTCACGGCATAGTGTGTTACCAATTGTTTTCTTGGTGACTATGGTCCCAGCTGCCTTGAGATCATTGACAAGATCCTCCCGTGTAGTTCTGGGCTGATTCCTCACCGTTCTTCTCATGATCATTGCAACTCCACGAGGTGAGATCTTGCATGGAGCCCCAGGCCGAGGGAGATTGACAGTTCTTTAGTGTTTCTTCCATTTGCGAATAATTGCACCAACTGTTGTCACCTTCTCACCAAGTTGCTTGGCAATGGTCTTGTAGCCCATTCTAGCATTGTGTAGGTCTACAATCTTGTCCCTGACATCCTTGGAGAGCTCTTTGGTCTTGGCCATGGTGGAGAATTTGGAATCTGATTGATTGATTGCTTCTGAGGACAGGTGTCTTTTATATAGGTAACAAGCTGATATTATGAGCACTCCCTTTAAGGGTATGGTCCTAATCTCAGCTCGTTACCTGTATAAAAGTTACCTGTATAAAAGACACCTGGGAGCCAGAAATCTTTCTGATTGAGAGGGGGTCAAATACTTATTTCCCTCATTCAAATGCAAATCAATTTATAACATTTTTGACATGCGTTTTTCTGGATTTTTTGCTGTTGTTATTCTGTCTCTCACTGTTCAAATAAACCTACCATTAAAATTATAGACTGATCATTTCTTTGTCAGTGGGCAAACGTACAAAATTAGCAGGGGATCAAATACTTTTTTCCCTCACTGTAGGTCCAATGATACAACTATAAAGTAAATCGTTGAACTTCGGACCAAGGTGCTCTGGGACCAAGTACACTTTTGAGCATCCTTTTGTTTGAACATGGTATTTGTTATTGACATTCCATGACTAGCGCAGAATTCCAATCACATCAGATCAGAAAAGCCATTCCTCTGAATCACGCCTCACCAGATATCTCCATTGTTTCTCTGGTGAGCATTGAAGTCGCACAGTAAGGTAGGCGGCACTCTGTCGAGCGCTGCACCCACTGTCTCCAAGAAGGCCGAATACTCTGAACTGCCGATTGGTGCATAAGCACAGACAAGTGAAGTTTTCCTTTCTGAGACCCGAAGTCTCATTGAGAAGACCCTCTCATCCATTGGGACAAACTCCAACTGAACAGCACCCAGCCAGGGGCTTGTGCGTTCCCCCACACCTGCCCGGGGCCTCTCACCAGGGGTTACTCTGGAATAGGAGACCACCCCTGATCGAGATGTTTAGTTCCAGTGCCAATGCTGCTTGTGCAGGCGAGACTGACAATATCTAGTCGGGTAACTTTCCACCTCTCCTCCACCAGCGCTGGCTCCTTCCCCCCCAGTGATGTGACATTCCACATTGCAATAGCTAGTGTCTATCGCCAAGGTCCAGTTCATCCGTTGCTTTGAGGGTCTGGCTCTCAGAATAACTCTCCCAAATAATCAACAGATATTGGTAGTGTGCTGCTATCGACCGCCTAGTGGGAAGGATGTTGAAGCTGCATCTGCACTGAGAGAGCTTTTTGGGGGCCTCCCTAAAGGTGAAATAGTTTTAGTGGGTGATCTAAATTGGAATTGGCTGAACCTGCTGGCCGTGGCCACAAATTTTGCATATGAATTTATTCTGTTTCAATTAATAAATGTCCCCACAAGACACAACCTAAAAAAATCCGGGACAGTCATCTCTGCTTGACGTCCTATTGACAAATGCCCCTCACAATTTCACACTGACTGGTGTTCTGGGTAATAACCTTAGTGATCACTCCTTCATTTTTGGGGTGAGATCATCAGCCAGACCCAAAGCCCCCCCTAAATTGGTTGAGAAGCACTCTGAGACACTTCAGCACTGAGGCATTTACTAATGATGTGCTTCACTCGGATATTGACAAGGTCTGTGATATCCCCAACCTAACTACGGCTTGGGAGACCTTCAGGTACATGTTTCTCCAAATTCTTAACAAACATGCTCCGTTGGTTAGATTTAAAACTAAAGGCAACCGTCCACCATGGTTTGATCCTTTGATTACAAAGCTCATGAAAACTAGGGACAAGGCTTGGGCATGTGCTCAGAAAAGTTATTTGGTCAATGACTGGCTTGAATACAAGATTTTAAGGAATAGATGCGTCAAAAAAATACGGCATGCAAAAAATGCCTACTTTTCCTCCACTCTCCTGGAATCACATTGAAATGCCAGGATTTTCTGGAAAACAATCAAATGTATCGAAAAGGCATCCAAAACAGACAATCTGCCCGTTGAGCTTAACCGAAATGGGGAATATTTTTCAGATCCCAAAAAAATAGTTAACAATTTTAACCTTCATTTTTCTGAAGCTGGTAATCGTTTTGATACTGTATTGGGAGTCACCCCTGCTCATGCAAATTCCTACACCCCTGTCCAAACATTAAACGAATTTAGTTTCCAGCCAATCCGCAAAAGTAATGTTCTGAAACAACTGTCCTACCTCAAAGGGTCCTCCTCTACCAGAGCAGATAGTATTCCCGTCTTTGCTCTACAAACTGTTGGTCACCTAATTTACAAACCTATAGCCCATATTTTCAATCTGTCCATCAAAGAAGCATCAGTTCCTCTAGAATTGAAACATTCCTATGTCCGTCCACTTCACAAAGGGGGCCCTAAAGATGATCCCAATAACTACCGACCTATCTCAATTTTGTCCCAGTTGATGAAAATTTTTGAAAAATTATTGACTTACCAAATTAGCAGTTTCCTGTCCACCAACAATCTTCTACATCTACAACAATCTGGGTTCCGGAAAAAATTACAGCACCACATCTGCTGCATTACTCTCTGAATCACATTTACAGTAGCCTTGATAATAAGCAGTACTGTGTCTGGCTTTTTCTAGACCTGTCCAAAGCTTTTGATACAGTAGACCACAACACCCTGCTTAGTAAACTAAGTTGCCTCGGTTTTTCCGAAAATGCAGTAAAATGATTACAAAATTACCTCTTTTCTCACACCCAAACTGTATTCACAGATGGTTGAAGGTCAAACAGTGTTACGATAACAAAAGGGGTTCCATAGGGTTCCACCCTCAGACCCCTTTTGTTCTCTCTTTACGTCAATGACTTGGGCACCGACCTGGATCATTCCAGGGTAAATCTTTTTGCAGATGCCACGATACCGATTACTGCTGGCCGCTCCGGATGACGTGATTGCTAAGCTACAGGGTGATTTCAACAAACTACAACATCAGCTAGTTGCTCTTAAACTAGTCCTGAATACCTCCAAAACCAAGGTGCTATGCTTCTCACCAGGACTAAAGCAGGAAGTTATTTTTTCCCCAATTACATTCCTTAAATAATTGTCAAATAGAGTAAGTCAATATCTATAAGTATATTGGGGTCATCCTGGATTCAAAACTTAATTTTGAAGATCACATTGATTATATTGGTAAAAAGACAATAAAATTGGTTTTCTGTATCGACATAAGCACTGCTTCCCCCCAATGTTCCGTTTGGAATTGATAAAAGCTACCATACTGCCTCTACTTGACTACTGTGACATCGTGTATAAATCAGCCCCAAGTACTGTACTGAAGAAGCTTGATTCCATCTATCACTCGGCCTTAAGATTTGCATTGAACTGCCCATATAGGACTCACCACTGTGATCTCTACATTGGGTCAAACTTAACATCTCTTAATGTTCGACGGCTTGTACACCAGATCTTATTTATTCACGATGTACTTACAAAAAAATCCGCAGACTACCTGCTGGATCTCCTCTCTGTTTCAAAGAACAAATTTGACCTCAGGTCTTCACTCATTAACCAGCTTCACATTCCCTATTGTCGTACAAAAACTGGAGGAAAGGCCTTTGCTATTGATGCCCCCAGGGTCTGGAATGCTGTTGCCAATAAACTGCAACTTGAATCACTACCTATGAGATCTTCACTCAAAACTGCTCTAGAGGAGTTGTACACCCCTAGCTGCCACTGCTATTCATTGGCGTAAAATAAAATGTTTCGCTCCGGATGACCGCTGCAAAGTATTATCTGTATTTTGATTTAGCGTGCCGATCTTAAAAGGTGCATTGAAAAATGTGATACTCCGACTGATGCTTCTATTGTTGTGTAGTAACTCATGCAGCCAGCTATGGCTCTTGGATTTGGTGTTACATGTTATTTATGTGGTTTATTGTAAAAATTCGGTCAGTCCCTAGGATCACTGTTACGTTGCAATTATAGCTTTATTTTTGGCGATTTCGAAGACGTGTTTTGGTTTGGACATGTTTGTTTTGTTGTAGTATGGAGTTAGACTGATGGCCTTAATCTAAGTTTTCTTGTGGTTGTTGTTGTTTGACTTGCATCCCACTGGGATTTTTTGCACACAGCGTTGGTGTACGGTGCTTTTTCAGCAATATTTTGCTGTTTTTTCATGGATTTTCTGTTTGCACAGTCACTTTAAGATGTTTTCTTGTTCGTGTTTGTTTTTTTGTTTGTTGTGGTTGCACCCGATTCAAGAGCCGAATGGCTCACAGGGCTACACCAAAATAAATAAACTGAAACAAAACTTTAGTCTCGGATGAAAAGAACCCATCAACATAGCTTCAGTTCACATATTTATTATTTGTAACAGCGTAAAAACAACAATGTTCAGCGCTAAGTGCTTAGTAAACAACCCCCGGTCCTCATTACGGGCAATCGCTTCATAAACGGTGCCTCCCAACCTTCATCCAAATCCCAAACAAAAAACAAACACCATTTAAACAATACTGCATTCAGCATCAGTGCAACGTGGGGCAAGTGTGAATAGGCCTTCTTAGGGCCTTTTCCAGCAAACGACAGTGAGCGAGTGAGTGAGTGGTGCAGAACTTTGCTCAGAAACGATCATTTTCCTTTACATCGGGAGCAGCAGCCTGCCGAGTGTCAGATGAGAAATCGTGATAACGCAACGCCGCTTGCGCGCAAACGCTTGGACATCTGCGCAGAGACGTGAACACGCCGTGATTAGTGCACAACGGTGCGGCGATAAATGGCAAAAAAAAACCCGCGACGATTGCTTTGTGAATATTCAGACAGCAGTCCACAGATGCTGAAACACACATTTTTTTTTGCTTACAAAACAGCTAACACACCGTCAAAACCCGTGACAAGAAAAGCACGCGATACTAACCCAACCGCCGACTTCATTGTGATGTGTAAATTTTAATGGAAACATTCGATTACGGTGTTGATATTCATTTACACTTTTGATTTGACAGCAATTGCTTCCTTGCAGCTTAAAATGTCTCACGTTTGCCGTCATTGTTTACGTATCACGAACGGGAAAAAAAAAACCCGAGCACCACTTACGGCTGTAGAACATTGGGATGGCACCTTGGGGTTCCCAGAACCACACGCGAGCAGATGCTCCAAAATTATCCGAAAATATCGAGGAACTGATCGATGTATTATTTTGGGAAATTAAACTGTGCAAAAAAAACCAACCCTGTTTTACAGACGCACAACGCTGCCAAATCTAACCGACAATGAAGCGTCAGTGGTCCAAACTGGCTTGCGATTGACATAGAGGCCCCATTTAGTCACTGCTTAAAGCATCGATTACGGAAATATTTTCCAAACATTTCACTCGTAACCATTCCAAGAAGCCACACAGAACTCTGCGATGTGGCTGAATAACATGCCTCCCCCTTCACCCCAATTCGGTCACAAGCATCCTGGAAGCCAATGATATTTATAATTTCTCGTCACTTTGACACACCACAAATAGAGGTATAGCAGCTTAGCAGGTAACACGAATGAAAAAAATGTACAGGGTAGTCCAGATGTCTTGTGACCCCCCCCCCCCCCCCCATTTAGAACCATAAGTTGGAGACTTGAATGTTTACTCGAAACAGAAATGCATGCGCAAAGGGAAAAAAGTGTTAGGGGTCAATTAATTTTGGGGGGGGAGGGGGGGTCACGTGACAATTTGGACCACTGTAGATGCAACATCGCACACAAGCGTGCACAAGCACCTATGGAGACACGAGGTTTTATTTTGGTTCGAACGTGCTAGACCAGTAACGAATTGGCACGTTTTGTTTACGTAATAAACGTTACTAATTGGCTGTCAGGCGATGGTGGGTTTAACAACATTCGTATTTACGCGATCTAACCCAAAAAAAACAACCTCTATACTGAATATTGGGTCGCAAAAGCCTACGTGCAAAACCCATGTAGACACTTGGGGTTTCATACACAGGTCGTATAGGAGACTCCGCAACAATTGACAGAGGCGTGTTTCTTTTACGGAGTCTCGCAAAGCGAGTCATTTACATTAAGGCAATGTCATCCATTTTGTCGTGAGACTTATATTTATTTTATTACTTATATATTTACAAAAATCACACAAAAGTAAAAAAAAGAGCCACTATGTTGAAACAATTTTGCGAATCCAGCAAAGTCGGAACATTTGTAAGGCATTGGTTCAAGCGTATCGGAAGACAGACCGCGAACGAGGCTAGCGGCAAAAAAAAAAAAATCGCTGTAGGAGCCCACCATCATCTCAATTTACCGAGCAAGAAAGAGCAAATGACGGATTCTTTTGCAATTAAATGTGTCGGTGCAAAAAGCTTCCGTTTTGATGTCCCCTTTTGTGTGTGCTACCGGCCACACGAAACACAGAGCAGCTGCACAATGTGTTGGTGGTCTTGAGGAGGCAATAAGCGTTTAACCCCCAACCGCCATCCCAATTTGATCTATGCAGTTGTAACTTTGTGGGCAAATTATGTAACGGCTAGGAAACCCCATAGTTATCACTTAAGAACAAGTTTCAGTGGCAGATTGTGCCATGAGGAAGAAACCTGATTGCAAGCTTTATAAACATGGAACAGTAACTTCCAATTTCCCGATATAATGTATTCAGCCCACCTTCGTGTGCTCACTGCAAGAAACGCCAATTGTAGCTCGGATACACTTCGTGTGTGCGTGCACGGATATTGAAAAGTTTAAAAAAAATGCCTTACTTAGTAAAGGTCCATCACGTGTGTCTAATGCATCAATAACATTTTACTGTGGAACGGACCACAGCAATATTTCTGATGTACATCACCCGCCGCAGGTCCATGCAAGGGAGGGGGAGGGGGGGGGGACATTGCTGACTTTCATTTGGTGTCAATTTGCATTACGTCAATGGTTGGGGAGAGGCAAAGCGAGGAGCGGAAGGTATTTAACCAAAGAGGTCCAACTTGGCTGAACGGAAGAAAATGAGCATCAGTAGATTGGAGCCATCGAATATGCAGATTCGTCCAAGTAAAAAAAATGTTTCTCAAGCTCAGCTTAGAATCCGACGCAGCTTCTGCAAGGACAACGCCTAACACCGTGGTGACGGAATGAACATCCACGGACTGATTCGAGTCCGACGCTGGCTGGAGAACACAGGGGCAGACGACTGGAGATGAATATCTTTGTTGTTTACCCAACAACAAGCGGGTGGGTGGGTGGGGGGGGGTTGCTCTGGTCTTGGCACCCCAGGGGTCGGAGATTGGGCGAGAGGCCCAGCCCCCCGCGTGCTGCTACGGCGGCGTGGAGAAGAGTTGAGTGGTGTTGGACTGGAAGGAGAAGAACGTGGGAGAGGTGGACGGTGGCGAGGAGGGAGACACACCCGGGGAGCTGCCGTTCTGCAGCTTCCACATGAGCTGTTCCTTCTCCATGGAGAGCCGCTGCTTGGCTTTAGCCTCGCGCTGAAGGGAAGCCTGCAGGGCCGTCTGCTCCGACGACAGTTGCCTGTGCCAACGGAGAAGATCGATTCAAGCTGCCGCCAATTTCATCCCACAGGGCGGTCCACAGGTGTCTTCCGACCCTCAATTAATTGACTGAACATTCTTTTTTTACTTTGCATATTATTTTCAGCTTTAAATAAACCTTACTAAAAAAAATATATTAAGCTTTACAGAATTCATTTGTGGGGGGGGGGTCACAAAACACATGTGCCTCCATGTACAGTCCCTCCTCACCCCCCGCCCCCCCCCCCCCCGGCAAGCTATGGGTAATATGTAAAGAAATAATCATCTACAAAAACCAAAATGCTTTGATCACGGGGGGGGGGGGGGCAATCGGCCACTGCTTCAAGCGGATGGCCGGTGAACGACCTTCACTTTAAGCCCGAGGAGTGACATCGTGGCTCTGCGTGCACCTTGTGACTTCCATGCTCTTGTCCATGCGAGCCTTCATGTCCTCATTTTGCTGCTGCAGCACCTGCAGCTTCTCCTCCACAATCCGTTTGGCATCGGCCTGAACAAGAACGCCGTTACACAAATTGCGTTGAGCCTACTTGGCAACCGCGACAAACAGGTCACAGCTTCGAGTAAGTGCTGCGATTTCAGTGGCACATTCAAAGTAAAATGTGGGTTTGATGAAAAGGGGGCATTAATGGGCAGAGAAGCCCCTATTTTACGCTTTGTTGAGTTGTGAGTGATAGCGGGCAAGTTTAATAGATCACACCGAAAAAAAAAGACTGGATTAGAGGTGCGTGCCAACACCGCAAATACGCTGCCATTCAGCCCAGGCTCACTTGAGCAGGGAGATGCTGTGCCCTATAGGCACAAGGTCTCTAGTTTAACACGAAGTAGGCTTTTGCGACTAATATTATCCATAATAAATGTTTTTTTGGGGTTTGATCGGGTTAAACCCGCCACCACACAACAAATTAGTAAATCGTCACGTAAACAAAATGTTACAATTACTGCTACTTCAGCACATTCGGTGTGTTGGAGAGTAAAGCCACAACACGTTCACAACGAGTACGACGTTTCGCCGGTGATCACAACCAACCTCATCATAACTGTCAAGGAGGTCCTCCAGTTTCGGCCTTAAATAGAGTAAAGGCGATTTCATCGCCATCACCTCTACTGCGAATGTGCGTGTGGGAGCCAACCTCCTGCTGCAGTGCGAGCATGCGGCGCTCCAGTGTGTGGATCTGCTGGGTGCGGATATCCACCACAGCCTTCAGGCTGTTCAGCTCGTCCTCCATGTGCAGAGACGACACGGGAGACTGCGGCGAGCCCTGCGCGGTCGTCAGGAAATCGGTTTGTCAGCCATCGCACGGGAGAGTGGCGGTACGGACACAAGTGACCAGGAGAGCCGGCGGAATGTCGCTTGTTGGAGCTAACAAAAAATATATACATCTCCATTACCACACCACTTAAAAATAATCCATGCCTCGAGTTTTTAACTATAATTTTTTTTTAAACAAATGTCACCAGGTAAGGCCCACTAAGCTATATAGCTTTTTCAGAAGCGACCGGGCCACAAAATGATAGCTCAATGAAGTGGCTTATCACGTGGAATTCATATCAGGCAGACTCAAAACGTGTGATGTTTATTCTAAAATGTGGAGGGAAAAACCGGAGCACCCAGAGAGAAAAAAACGACCATTGGGAGAACATGCCATCTCCAAATATACAGCCGCCAGGGTAAGGATCGAACCCATGACCCTCCTGTATACCAAGCGATGTAGTTAATATCTCGCCACCGTGGCACCCTGGCTGGCTGGGCTTCTTTCGATCACAGTAAGTGTTGTTAGTAGCTGCGGGCCGTTGCCACCAAAACTCACTGGGTACCTGGCTAAACAGGATTTTCCACGTAGGAAAATAAACATTGGATTTAAAATGGCAATAGACCTAGGATAGTGCGACACCAAAAAGGTGGGAGTAACTCACAAAAGACTGACACGGTTCATTTAAAACTGCCCTGACGTTCCCAGTCATGCTTCTATTATTGAAATTCTTTTGGCAAAACATGTTTTAACCCTAGGAGAAAATGTAAAAAAATTTTTTTTTATACATATCATATTGGGATTTAATTATCGCACAAAAAAGCAGATTGACTTTTGTTGTCCGAATATAGGAAAGTTGTGAGCGGAGCGACGACAGCTGCCTCTTACTTTGTTGCAGGGCAAGGGGGTTTTCTCCACCGGAACGGTAAAAAATTAAATCTCTGCTACGAAGAAGGACCCATTGCCCAAAACGTCACTTATTATTCAGGCGTGTCTCCCCTTTTATAGGGCAGGGTTATTCACGAAAGCGACGGCGTTGCTGTTTGCAGCAGGTGCTTGTGCAGTTGCTACCAGCCCAGCGCAAGCACCACCGCTTCGGCGGAGACTGTCAGCAGGGGCAATTTCGGGTGAACGTAGTGTTCATAGTTTCATTTATTTGGTATAGCCCTGTGAGCCATTCGGCTCTTGAATCGGGTGCAGCCGCAACAAACAAAAAGCATGAACAAGAAAACATCTTAAAGTGACTTTGTGTGACTGTGCAAACAGAAAATACAGGAAAAAATATCAAAATATTCCTGAAATAGCACCGTACACCAACACTGTGTGCAAAAATCCCAGTGGGATGCAAGTCAAACAACAACAACAACCACAAGACAACTAAGATTAAGGCCATCAGTCTAACTCCGTACTACAATAAACAAAAACATGGCCAAAACAAAAAATAGTTTTCGAAATCACCAAAATAAAAGCCATAAATGCAATGTAACAGTGATCATAGGGACTGTGACCGAATTTTTAACAATAAACTACGTAAATAAATTATAACACCAAAATCTAGAGCCATATTTTAGGCCACTGAATAGCAGTGGCAGCTAGGGTTGTACAACTCCTCTAGAGCAGTTTTGAGTGAAGATCTTATAGGTAGTGATTCAAGTGAAGGCTTCTCCCCCCCCCCTCCACCAGCATCCCCACCCTACCCACCTCCCAAACTTTATCAGCACCCACCTTGCTGGCCGACGTATTTTTCAAGAGCTTCCCTATGTTGGAGATTTCTTCTTTCTGAGTCTTGATTTGCAGTGTCAGCATCTTCACCGTCTCCTGCGATTTTCACACAGAGGTACGTATTTTTTGTGTTCAACGTACACACGAATTAACGTGGATGTTTCATGGATAGACTGGGTTCAGGAAGGTAGAACTTCCCACCAAACGGTTAAGTGCCACCAATGGAGGAACGTTTTCCAACGCTCCCTTGATCAGGAAGGAAAACACTTCGACGTTTGACAAAACAGTCTCGGGTCTGACGTTAAATGCAAATTTTACCGTTTTAAAACACAGCGGTTGGAAGCAAAGCAGATGTCGATTACAATAAGGGGATAATAAAATTGGAGCTTGCATACCTCCAAGCGGGATTTCTCACGTTCAAACTTGTTCTGCATCGACGTCCGTTTACTTTCAAAAGACAGGTTCAGCTCTGGAAATAAACGGCAAGGCGCAAGACACAATGATCAAGTCAGGACATCTGTTATTGTGCACTCTTACAGAGTCCAAGTCCATCACGAATGCGCATTTGAGCACACGTTTAAGTAGGCTCTCTGGAAACAATAAACGCCGTTTCGAGTCTGCTGCAGGAACCGGGCTCGGACTCAGGGATGGATCCCAAACATGATCCTGGTAGCGCGTTCCAGGTCACTGGGCCGGAGACCCCAAAGCTGCGGTGTGACCGCATCGTGCGCGAGGTTTACACGCGGTGGCTACAGAGGCGGATCATAGTCGGAGTCGATTTGGTTTCTGTTGAAGCTGGTATGCACCGATCGGAAAAGACCTCGCACCAGAAAAACGAGACCCACAAAACCGCGAGCATGCTTTTGGCTTGGGCAAGCTTCATGACACGTTTTTTAAAGGGTAATGAATAAGTCCAGAAAGATGCTGTACAAGTCTACGGTTCATGACTGTTTGTGCCGAGTGAGACCCAGGCATGTAGCAGACTTCAGAAGCAGTGTTAGATGTGCCCATGCCTTAAAATGTCCGGTTACAGTGCTGCTCATTGCTTACATTCATTAATATGAAGATGATGTTCTTTTAGTTACACAGGAAAACCTCGATTGAATGTAAGGGTTTTCAATTAGACAAAACCAATACCACAATTATAACAAAAGTGACTTTTCAGCTGCATGCCCAACATATTTTTTTGCTAGCCACAGAACAAACTGTTACTGCATCGCACACCTTCAGATACACTTCTGCAGCCACCTGGTACACTCTGCTTTCCACTATTAGGAAGCCACTGGAGCGATGCACTTTTCAATATGAATAGAAAATCACTTCTTTAGAACTGCTTTATGTTTAGTTTGTTGTCCTTCCCCCACACCTCCGATTAGCATGGTTGACTACGTACGGTGCAAAAGAAGTTCAATATACAGTAAAACCTTGGATTGCGAGCACAATTCGTTCCGGAAACGTGTTTGTAATCCAAAGCACTCGTATATCAAAGCACTCGTACATCAGTTGTGATCACGTGACGCTCAGCAGACAAAGCGTATATACGTACTGCTCGTATTGCAAGACCTCGCTCGTTTAATGAAATTAATATTTATTTAAAAATGTTGATCGTCTTGCAAAAACACTCGCAGACCAAGTTACTCACAATCCAAGGTTTTACTGTACATCCATTAAGTGAACGCAGACAGCAACATATTTCAACAGGGCTACAGTTGTGTCAAGTTAAATGCCCATATTTGTTATGCTCATAAGGCTCACACGTTGCTGTTGAAGCATCTATGGAATTGAATCATTGAACATGCAAGCTCACCATTGATGCTCCTCTCCAGGTCTTCTTTCATGGCAGTCACCGTCTCCATCTCAATCTCAGACATGGCATCTTTCTTTTGCTAGACGGGAAAAAAAACAGAAACACAGAAAATGACGCTACATCCAGCCACATTTCAAGTTCATGCATGGGACCACGTCAGATGCCACTGTCAGCAGCTTTCAAATAAAATGACACGTGTTCAAATCAAAGTCAGAAGGCCAACCCTGACTTTTGGGATTCATGTGCATCTCTTTATGGAAAGTCAATACTTGCGTAATAAGAGTGAAGTTTATTTATAACCGTGTGAGAACTCACCGAGACTGGCCAGAGCAGTGGAACTCAAGGGATCGTTTCCTCCACACCAGCACAAATTGGCCCACCACAATTCTAGATTTGAAGCTTTCGTGACTGCAAGGATCCACACTCTTTGGTTCTATTCGGTAAAGTCACGTAGGTAAAAATAAACGTCGTGATTTTTGTTATTTTATTTTTACCTACGTGACTTTACCAAATAGAACCAAAGAGTATGGCCCACCACAGTTTGTCGCGTGTCGGTGGGGTAAAGCGTGGCCCACTCCCACGTCTTTAACGTTGTCTGGCCAGCATGGGCAAATACCTTCTGGAGAGGCTCCCTGGAAGTGTGCCTAAGGTGGAGGCCCTACCACCAGCAGCGGCATGAGCAGGAAGTTGCTGCATTGCACCCTGACCAATTCGAAATTATTGTAGGAAATCAGTGCGTCTCGGCCATCGGGTAAGGCAGCACATTCAGACGGAAGCGGTGCAAACAAGCCACGGGGCCAAGAGAAGCACCTCTCCCCTTCTTGGAAACCCAGCCACACCAAGTGAATAATCGACAGCAAAGCAGCCGCCCCCGGCGCAGCGGCGACTTTTGGCGAACCATCGAATAAAGACGGTCACCGCCGCATCATCGCGCGCTTTTGCGGCCATCTGGAATGCTCTTTCCGATATTATGAAGCCACTGGAACTATGCACTTTCAAAACATAAATTGAAAGCTCATTTCTTGAGAACTATTTTTTTGCGTTCAGTTCGTTGTCCTCCCCTCACTTCCGATGAGCATGGTTGGCTACGTACAACGGTGTGAAAGAAGTTCACAACAAACGGAAGCGCCGAGGAAAAACTTTTGCGTTGTTCGTCCGAGCGCTGCAGGAGTCAATGAGCCACTAACGTCCTCAGTAGGGTGGCGTTTTGGCTTGCAAGTGACGATAACGGCGTACGCGTTTAAAATCTACCCAAAGCCGCGCGCTCTGGCAAAGACGCGGCTGGAATTTCAACAGGGTGCACATTACAGCGCAGAGCGACGTCAAGCAAAAGTGGCCCCCGTGCACGGAGTACATAGTTTTTAAAGTGAGATTTATTGCAGTGCCTCGTGCCATAATTTGTTTTGGCATATTTTTGTTACACTATGCTTTCCATTTGTATCCTTTATATTAAATCCCAAGGATGGTATTCTGGCAAGAATAATTAACTCAATAATCATAAGATTGGAATTTAAAATTCCAGTTAAGCATCAGCCGAGCCCATCGCTTATTCTGCGTCGATAACATGTGTTATTCCATGTGAAAAATCAAAAGCAGTTGTCCGATGGATCGACTGTTCACTGCCATAGAAGTGTAATTTTGACCACCACTTGCTCAGGGTCACTAAACAAAGATAAATGGGAAGACGCAAGGTTTTTATTTGGTTAGATTAACACCACAATGCTATGCTTTGTGTTGCACATTTATTATAGCCGCTCATTTTTACTATCTAAAACGGGCAAAAGATGATTAATGATATTTACGTAAAAAGTCATCACGGTCCAACAAACCACTCTTAAACAGGGCCACGTGTTGTTCTGTTGCTACTAGCGCTAGAGAGTGTGTGTTTTGATTTGTAATTCAACACCCGTACTTTGTTTGGGTCATTTGTTTTTCCAAGTCGGTCCCCTTTGGCCACCTTATGTTATTGCAGATGCGATGAAGCAAAAGCAGCCTCCCTTCACTCCATGGGTGACAGGAGGGATGTGTGACAAAATTGGGAGATTCACTTGAGTATTGCGCAAACACACGAGACCACGGCAACTCCTGGACGTGAGGACCAGAGTGCAGTGTGGAGTGTAAACAACTGATCAATCAAGGCGTGTCACTTCCCCTTGTTGCCCCGACCCCCAACTCCCCACAATTGCAGTATGATTCCAATTCTGATCTCAGCATCACCATGAGGAGAGCAAGACATGTCCTTCCGGAGCTTCTGCAGTGAGCATTGCATCACGTGGTGCCATAGAACAGCCCTGAATATTGAAATGACAGTTGGCCTCTTAACCCACACAGTTTTGAAAAGATTGTCACGTGGCCAACCAAATATGTTGAATCCTCAAGAGCTGAAGTGAATCAGACAACCAAATGGAACGATGCGTGTTTTAAGTCATTGGTGAAGTAAACCAAAACCAAAAGTTCACCACCGCATTTCAGTGCGGTTTAACCAGTCCTCTTCACCAGATTTAAACCCAACCTCTCACTGGTGCCAGCTCCGTACCAAGACGTGCAATCAGCCCAGAATGCATTGGGTTCACGATCACAAGTTCAGCGTTCATCATCCTTGTCCCTCGTGGGTCAGTAAATTGATATTATTTGTGTCGTGTGTCGCCATAAAAAAAACTTCCCACGGGGTCTCAATAACTCATGAGCATTGTAGCTAAAGATATTTTGGCCAATGCTTTTTGAAGTATTGTTAAAAGGGGATCCACTTCCTGGTGACTACCAACGGGAGGCACCACCTACTTGGTCGCACAAAGCCGAGCACTGCCGCAGGAACATAGAACTTCAGTGTGGAGAAGAGCAGCCAATTCAGTGGCTTTAAGTTTAGTTTAAAGCAGGTGGCAAGAACTCAAGAGACCAGTATCATCTTATTTGTAAATGTGACCTGGGGCATTAGTCCCAGTAGGTGGTGATGATTGCACCATATTGTTAATGTATGTAGCAATTTGCAGGTACAGTAATTGCATTATGTGGACCCCCCGGACGTCGGCACACAATGGGTCAAATCTAGCCAACCATGTCAGAAGAATTTTTATTGGCCACTGTCGTATTATGTTGGTCATTACGCTCGCAGAAATTTGTATTATATCTGTATTTTATCAAGTAAGGTTCACCGACCTTTATATAGCTCTTTGGTCAGAAGAGAACTGGCCAGAAATGACAGCTCAACAAAGTGGCTAAATCACGTGGAAAATTATAGCAGCCAATGCCATAAACGCATGTTTTTAAATGTGGAAGGAAAAACCGAGGACCCAGAGACCCCGGAGAAATAACTCCAAATATATAGCAGGCGTCAGGGTTGGGATCAAACCCACGACCTCCTGTATACCAGGCGAGGTAGTACATCTCATAGCCACCGTGGCACCACCCCATAATCAGGGAGGTCACTGGATTTAAACTGTGAATCTCCCTGGTCACGCCATGCTCTCATGGGGCAGATAGATATTGGGGTTTGTAGCACGTGAAAATTGCAGAGTGGAATTTTGAGTGGTCAAATCCTAGGTTGGGGTCAATGCAGCAGTCCATAACTCTCGCAGATCATGAGAAAGTAAAAAAAAAATATGGCCTATTCCACAAGAAAGTTAAAATGTCCATCAATGGCTCAGGGCTGTGAGACAGGTAAAGGTGGTTGTTTGAGCAGAAGGCCACTGAATTGTCTCAAGGAGCATAAAGCATCATGCAAACTCCGGTCAACATCGCAGCAGCAGCAGCAGCTGCTTTTGACTCACCATCGAACAAATACGGTCACTGCATTGCGTGCTTTCAGATGCGGTTCTGCGGCCATCTGGAACGCTCTTCCTTTCGATATTAGGAAGCCACTGGAGCAATGTATTTTAAAATCGAGATTTAAAATTCATTTCTTGAGAACTGCTTTGTTTAGTTTGTTGCCCTTCCCTTGCACCTCTGGTCAGCGCGGTTGGCTACGTACGGTTCAAAAGAAGTTTAACAAATAGACATGCACACCAATAGAAAACCAAAAAGTATGTATGCAGTACTTGAGGCAGGCGTGTACTCACACAGTACGCAACACAAACCGGGTTTTTCCAAGAATGATATATAGTGGCAAAGGCGCAGTGGAAAATGTATACTTTTAGAATGGATTTAATACAGCAGCCGAGGGCATGATTAATGAGACGGTGGAAGTAAATTCCCGAGACAGAAAACCCAGAGAATGTTACATCCAGAGTATAAATCGGGAAAGTAGGAGGGACAGGCGAGCAGATATGGGGGTTACCTGAATGGAGAGGAGAAATAACTCCCACCCAAGCAAAATCAGATGGTCTCAATTAATGGCAATGTTTCAAGGCAGGGTCTGGAAGGGGCAATTTGTCTTAGAAATTCACAGCAATAACAAGGATTCCCCATTTACTCTTAACACATTAACATGGGGAGGGAGGGGGGGAGCAAGCGCCAAATAGCGAGCGCCCAACTGTGGTGGACAAAGCACATTAGACCCTGGTGTAGCCCAGTCATTATGGCCCTCTCCTGCAGTGATGATTGCACAACAGCAGGTACTAATTTAAGGCTGAACACACCTAAGGGAGGAAGACAAGACAGATTTGGGTAGCCTGCCAAAAATGGCTACGCGTGGCTGGGATTTGAAACTCAGGTTGCCAGGAATGCAGCGTGCCAATGACGAAGCTGCCACTTTAAGATGGCTAAAGACAACGATCCCATCCCCTATAGTCATGCACATATACATCTATGTGCATGTAAAACATCTTTCACACTGTACATAGCAAACCGTGCTAATTTGGAGGTGCGGGTGAAGGACAACAACATACTAAACACAAGAAGCACTTTAAAGAAATGGGTTTTCAATTTAGATTTTAAAATGCACGGCTCCAGCGGCTTCCTAATATCGGAAGAGCGTTCCAGACGGCCGCAGAAGCACATCCGAAAGAGCGCGATGCGGTGACCACCGTCTTTGTTTGGTGGCCAGCAAAAAAAGCCGCCGAGGATGACCGGAGTTTGCGTGATGGCTTATGCTCCTCGGCACGTATTGGGCACAGGGATACAATCAAGAAACCCCCAAGTGCACTTTGCCATCATCACTATTATAGTCTTGGTTCTTTCGGTAAAGTCACGTTGAAGGGAAACAATAACATTTATCATCACTATTATTACAAATTGCCTCGTGGCCAAAAAGTAGAAGCTTTCATTTCGGATAAGGACGTTTTTTCTAAACCATTTCCCGACTTGAAGGCCAACCGCACAGAACGTTTTCTTATGATACTATATTTTTATGCACATCCCCTACAGAGTGGATAAAATTATTACTACTTTGAGAAAGGTCAAACGTGATCGTCCTATGGAAAGATGAGACCCCACCATAAACATTTGGAATTTCCGTCACCAGCCGACAGGCTTCCAATCGAGACACTTCAACGTTTTAAAAAATATTATTTTGACAAAGTTAATATTACCGTCACTCATAAAAGTGCCAGAATTTGTAAGAGGAAGTGGTAGTAAAATAGTTGTGCGTAAAAAAAAGTGCACTGTATGCACGGAAAACTAATTTGAAAAGCAACTGGTTAAATAACTTTTATAGCATAACTGCACAAACGATGTTTCCAGAAGACCACGTACAAGAAAAAAATCCCATATTACAATTGACAGCAGGGAGAAGTTCCATGACAAGTAATATCTGCATGCACACACAAGAGGACCTCCGATTAAGCACGGTTGGCTACGTATAGGGGCAAAATAATTTTAACATACACAGAGGAACATCTACATCTCGGCGAGGTGAATGAGCATGCAATGGTTCGGGCAACCCAGATTTGCTAGCTCATGACCACGGAAGTAACAGCAGAAAGAAAGAAGGGCCGTGATGATGGCATGGCACGGACCTCCAGCGTGTTCTCATGTAAAGGGGGCGATGACATGGTCAATGCCAAAACAAACTTTAAACAAACTTTAAACGATAGAATGAGCAACGTCGGGGATCTGCTTTTATCCATCGTGCATTCTTCTCTGGCTCTCGGCACCTTGTGTATAAAGTGTCAACATTCTTGAGCAGGAGGGAGCTCCACTCTAAAACTAACCCCCCCTCCCAGCCCACGCGCTCTCTCGGGATAAGCAGAGGCAATCAATGACCAATAAAGCCATTAGCGGAGAAGGAATAGGGCATAATAGGAAAATGTTCATGTTTAGCTAAGTAGCCTCTCACTGTTAACTGAAAATGAAATGGCATTCCCGGAGAAATAACGAAGCCATTAGATTCAACCAAAAATTAATAGAAAAATGAAACATCACAAAGTGAAATTAGAACACAGGGCCCCCAGCTCGGAGCCGAATTGGTTTCAGATGTTGACCGCATTTGTTTAGCGTCATATGACACCACATGTTCTCAACTGGGATCCGATTCTCTAACCAGCTCAGGATTTCGCTGACAAGGAGAATGTTTGATGCAGAACAAAACAAAAATTCCAACAAAATAAATACCTTGCATATAAAACACAAAAGGGTCACGACTTGTAACTGCAATATTAAATATTAATTATTGAACACTTGATTGAAAGTAAAAGTTTAAGTTTGTCCCACTACCCGCAGTATTTTTTAAGAAGGTGGCAGCCTCCACATGGCCCACTGTGTCCAGTGAGAAATCGCGGATAATGCCATCAAACCGGTGACCGAACATCGATCAACGATCTCCCAGTCTCCAGAACAACTCCTCACAGCATTTTTGATCGTGTTCAGAAATGTGTTTAACATTTGTAACAGAGGGGAATTTTTTTTTTAAGTCGCTTTTTATTTAAGCCTTGAAGTGAAATGAGACTGAAGAATTTAGGCCATGGCCAATTTGAGTTGACAAAAATGTAAAACGCGTTGCCGGGACCACGACACTATAGAGTTATTTGGCTCAAGGGAGTGCGGTATGAAAATCAAACCATCTGTGGGGGAAGAGGGGGGGGGGGTGCAAATCTGAGTTGATCATCCAGAACCAGCGGCGTTTCTTCCCAGAGATAGTATTGACCGAGCAAACCACTAACCAAGAGAATTTGAATCTTTGCCGGAGCACCACCCAAGCCAGCAGAGACGAAAACTAAAAACATACAAGGTCACGAGATTTCTTAAGAGTCTAAAAAAAGTTCTGTTATGCTACCACTCTGGCAACAATGCAGACCAGATTGAAAAATACGAATAATAATAATTTACATTTACAAGGCACATTTCATCCATAGATCCCAATGCTCGATGTGCTGAAAGCAATAAAATAAACAGAACCAGGGTAAACGACCAGAACTAAGGGATGAAGGCCAGTTTAAAGATGCGAGTTTAAAAAAGATTAAAAGAAAACTGCAAAAAAGCCCCGAAATAAGTATGCATGTCGAACTTCCTTCGCACGTACAGCGAGGGGAAAAAAGAATTTGATCCCCTGCTGATTTTGTCCGTTTGCCCACTGACAAAGAAATAATCAGTCTATAGTTTTAATGGTAGGTTTATTTGAACAGTGAGAGACAGAACAACAAAAATCCAGAAAAACGCATTGCGAAAATGTTATAAATTGATTTGCATTTTAATGAGGGAAATAAGCATTTGACCCCCTCTCAATCAGAAAGATTTCTGGCTCCCAGGTGTATTTTATACAGGTAACGAGCTGAGATTAGGTGCACTCCCTTTAAGAGTGTGCTCCTAATCTCAGCGTGTTACCTGTATAAAAGACAGCTGTCCACAGAAGCAATCAATCAGATTCCAAACTCTCCACCATGGCCAAGACCAAAGAGCTCTCCAAGAATGTCAGGGACAAGATTGTAGACCTACACAAGGCTGGAATGGGCTACAAGACCATTGCCAAGCAGCTTGGTGAGAAGGTGACAACAAATTTTGATTTAAAGCTTTTGTGACTGCAGTAATTCATATTCTTAGTTCTTTCGGTAAAGTCACGTTGAAGGGAAACAAAATAATGAAATATATAATATATTGTTATATATTTTATTATTTTGTTGTTTCCCTTCAACGTGACTTATCGAAAGAACTAAGAATAAGGTGACAACAGTTGGTGCGATTATTCGCAAATGGAAGAAACACAAAAGAACTGTCAATCTCCCTTGGCCTGGGGCTCCATGCAAGATCTCACCTCGTGGAGTTGCAATGATCATGAGAACAGTGAGGAATCAGCCCAGAACTACACAGGAGGATCTTGTCAATGATCTCAAGGCAGCTGGGATCAGTCACCAAGTTAACAACTGGCAACATACTACGCCGTGAAGGACTGAAATCCTGCAGCGCCCGCAAGGTCCCCCTGCTCAAGAAAGCATATATACATGCCCGTCTGAAGTTTGCCAATGAACATCTGAATGATTCAGAGGACAACTGGATGAAAGTGTTGTGGTCAGAGGAGACCAAAATGGAGCACTTTGGCATCAACTCAACTCGCCGTGTTTGGAGGAGGAGGAATGCTGCCTGACCCCAAGAACACCATCCCCACCGTCAAACATGGAGGTGGAAACATTATGCTTTGGGGGTGTTTTTCTGCTAAGGGGACAGGACAACTTCACCGCATCAAAGGGACGATGGACTGCGCCATGTACCGTCAAATCTTGGGTGAGAACCTCCTTCCCTCAGCCAGGGCATTGAAAATGGGTCGTGGATGGGTATTCCAGCATGACAATGACCCAAAACACACGGCCAAGGCAACAAAGGAGTGGCTCAAGAAGAAGCACATTAAGGTCCTGGAGTGGCCTTGCCAGTCTCTAGACCTTAATCCCATAGAAAATCTGTGGAGGGAGTTGAAGGTTCGAGTTGCCAAACGTCAGCCTCGAAACCTTAATGACTTGGAGAAGATCTGCAAAGAGGAGTGGGACAAAATCCCTCCTGAGCTGTGTGCAAACCTGGTGGCCAACTACAAGAAACGTCTGACCTCTGCGATTGCCAATAAGGGTTTTGCCACCAAGTACTAAGTCAAGTTTTGCAGAGGGGGTCAAATACTTATTTCCCTCATTAAAATGCAAATCAATTTATAACATTTTTGGCATGCGTTTTTCTGGATTTTTGTTGTTGTGTCCTCTCACTGTTCAAATAAACCTACCATTCAAATTATAGACTGATCATCTCTTTGTCAGTGGGCAAACGTTCAAAATCAGCAGGGGCTCAAATACTTTTTTCCCCTCACTGTACGTAGCCAACCGTGCTCATCGGGAGGTGCGTGGCCACGTACTTGCGCCACCCTCGCATCCAGCTCCTGCTCGTGGGTCTGCTGCAGCCGCTCCATTTCCCCGTCGAACTGCTGCCTGAGCATGGCCTCGAGGTTGGACAGGGCCTCGGCGTGCCTCCTCTCGGCCTCGGTGAGAGCCACGACGGAGTCTCGCTCCCCCACCTCCTTCTCCTGCTCCAGCCGTGCGCAGCGCTCCACGTACATCGCTGCCGCAAACAAGACAAAGGGTCCCCCCCCCCCATAAAGCCTTAACAGCGTATTCAACCAAACCATACGTTGTGTTTTAACAGACCGTTTGTGTTGCTTTATATAGCTTCCAAATTTTGCTAAACCCTGTTTGATTTAGTGTGATGTTCCGTCTCTCTGTATCCCCTGGTATATCTGTGTTAATTCCCCCTACTTAAGGTCTGTATATATATATCTGCGGTTATGCGTTTCCTCTACCCGATGATTGCTGTGTTGCGATCGAAACGTCGTATGCTATTATATAATTGTATTTGTTATTATTTCTACGTGACTTTACCGAAAAAACCAAAAGAGTAATTCCTGCGGTCACGAAAGCGCCTAATCAAGTTCCTTAACAAGCCGTTTACGGCAAGTGCAGTTAAGCGAGCACCTATGAAGGCCGGCACGGCCATAATGGGGCGAGTGGCCAGCACCACGCCAGACCACCTTTGTCAGTGTTTTAACACATCGCACTAGATACTCAATTGAGGCCGAGTTGACCTAGGGGAGGCCCAGGGGCAGTTCAGATAACCACCGTTGGTGTCGATCGCGAACGAGAATCGAATTCGGGTCGCCAGGTTCGTGGCACAGTGCGCTATCCACGACGCTACGTCGCTGCAGAACACACACAATGGAGTATAGAGAGCGTGTTAAGGGCAAAAACATCACGGGAAGTGCCGTCTAGCTCGACCTCTTTTCCACTAGCTCAGAGCTGAGCCAGCGAGTGGGGCCATCACGGTATGGTTGTTTTTCCAACTGGCGACATGTCATGCCAAACCCGAAATGAGCTGTGATACATGCTCGCCTCAAGACACAGAAGACCGTTCTTTCACATTCAAAAAGAGAGACATGGTGGGCAGAGAGGGGCGGACCCAGCCCAGCATTCACTCAGGGGTCAATAAAAGATCGTCAAAATGTGTGGTTGTCTTGTGGAGAAAGCCCCAACCATAGGAATGAGGAATCTCCACCAGTGGCTTGGCGCTGCCATGAGGGGTGCAGCCCCACGCTTGTTTTGATATTATTCATGGTCAAGGCCTTCGGTGTAAAACCCAAGTTACAAGTGAGTCGCTCAAAAATTGTAACCTCCCCTTGGCTCAAATAAGCAATTGGTGGTTATTAACCTCGGGCTCTGACAGTGGTGTAAATTCCACGTGCCTACGTTGCAGCCCAATCACTCGATGGGTTTTACCACTTGTGAGTTCATGCCACTACAGTGACTATATCTAGATGCAAAGTGAATGAGTTTAGTGAGGAATGAACGAGCGAATGGATTTTATGTAGCCGTCAAGTTAGTAATGCAAACACTGCATTGACAATTATGCCTGAATTATAAGTTATACAATTTTCACACAATGGGTAGATAGGTTGTTGCATTTATCAATCACTTACCAAGCTGTTGCTGAACACTTTTGAGATCCAAATTAAGATCGGTCAGCTTTCCAGATAATTTCTCATTCTAGAAAAACACATCCACAAAAAAATACCATCACATCATCATCTGCAAAAATCACACTGCATGTTTATCAGCGTTAAAGAGAGTAACTTCGAACAAATGCGGCATGTTCTTCGGAAAACATTCGCGTAAAAAAGGTACCTATTACTAAGCACCACAAATTCTCAATTTAAAGCCGTCTATTAATCAATGACAAAAACAATTCATTCAAAACTTAGGACCATATTGCCAAGGACATATTCAAGTTCTTAAACAGCTGATCAGACACTCGGCAGAAGCCGAAACGCCTCTTCCCAAGGACGGCACATTTTGACAGAGCCCCAGGGACACTTTCAGAATTTTAGTACAGGCTGTCAGAGGATATCCCTGCCATGGACAGATATTTTTTTTCACGCTGTTTAATCAATCAAGCCACAATGGTTTCCAACTCCAAACCAGTAAAAGGGTGGCACTTCTCTTGTTTGTAGCCGGGCCAGTGGTGGAAATTCCACATTCATATGACAGGCAAGTCATTATGTAGATCAACCCACTTGCACACACAATATATATGTAATATGTTCACGATCCAATACACGTACATCCTTTCATATGCTTCATGTTAAACGCATGCACTTATGTACAGTGATGTGTGGATTGATGTAAAAAGCAGACAGTTTAAGCGTCTCATTTCATAATGCTATTTAACAGCTTAAACGGGAAGGTTTCGAGACGGCGTCGAGGTGCAGAGCCAGTAAGATCCAACGTGTGTCCAGTGCTTTGTAGCGCTCAACACTGCCGGTGGCCCCAAGCCAGTGTGGAAAGTCTACATTCCTATGGCAGGAACCACAGCCTTCAGAGACCCAGGCCCAAGTGCGTCCCCCCCCTCTGGTTACTGCAAATTGACCCCTACCCAGAAATAACATCTGATGAGGGATAGCCAAACCAAGTTTGAAAAAGCTCCCCACCAATAATCCGGGGCACCCATGCTAATAGACACGACCTGAGTGTTGGTGGCGGGTCAAATGACCTTTAAACGATGGCTCGTCATTTGGCAAGCGGTGGAATTGTATGCACCACAATTGGTTTAGTTTTTCTCAACGAATGTGCACTCCATAGGAGTGGTTCAGATTGGCCAATGGAACGCCGTACCATTGGCCAATCACATGTATTCAGCGGGGTAGACATGCAAATCAATTATTAATTTATTGGAACTGCCCCCATTTAATTAAAATTAAATTAACCACTTGCTTCAGTATTATGTTTTATCAATAGCAAAATTAGGAATTAAGAACACATTTTTAGACAAGCTGCAAATGCTAAGTGTAGACCGACAGTGCCTCCATGTACTCTCGTGGTGAGGTGCAGTGCACGAGAGTACATGGATGTGCAGTTTGTACATTGTGCCGTGTGAATCCATCGGGATGCACACGGCCACACTCATGACAGACGCCAACCCTAGAACTGCTAATTGAAGGTCAATTGCTGTGAAATGGGTGTGCCACAATTTCCCAGCATTCCATTATTGTTGTGCACAACACTGCCAACTCCACCCGCTATGCAACAAGGAGGAGGATTTCTTGAACCAGGGTCCAAACTGCAAAATTTTAACCACGCAATTGTTTAATGCGACTCGGAAACGCACACGGGTTGAGTGAGAACAGGATTTTCGCAGATTATATTTATTTTCATTTACCTAGTTTCCAGGTCCCCACCACCACCCAATGTAAACAAGCATTTCAGCGACTTGCTTGTTTGCCTTGAATCCCATGGGAAGCAATTTTCTAATGATTTGCCAACATCTGGCAGAACTTGAAAATACATAAAACGAGAAAGTCGGTCTGCTCCAGAGTTCGTTTAACCAACGGGTCTTCACGAGGGTCTCTTATACGCAAACAAGAACTGCATTCTAACAACCAGGCCGGCATCAGCAGCAGTAGTAGCCTTCACCTCACTTTCTAACAAACCGGAAAACCGCTAGTGACTACCGGTTAATTACCCAAGTGACAAGGATTGTTTTTTTTTAAAAGGTGGTGGGGTGAAAGGTGCAGCCCTGCAATTTTAGTGTTCACACTACTGCTGGTGGAAGGGCCTCCCGTAGAGGGAGCTGTGAAGAGCCCCCGTCTTTACAAGGTACTTAGGCAAACTCTCCCATGCTGACCGGGCATCTCGGACGAGGCGAGAAGCACTCCAAATCAGAATCGTTTCATTCATCCTGGAGAAATCCGACGAGCTACGAAGCTCTTTTTCACAGATGGTCCAGTAGGGGGGGGGGGGAGGGTGACAGACTTGACCCCCACCCACACGCGACTCGCCACCTCGACTCATTGTGGTGAACCCACCTCGTACGTACGGCCGTTTCAACTGCAGAGCCCCAAGGGCTCGAATGGAACGAGCGACCTCTGGATCGCACAAGTGCAGTGCGTGCCACACATTGCACCGCTGCAGATTCTATAACGGGTGCATCTTTAGCAGAATAATGTCTTTTGGAAGGCTGCACTCTACAGATGCAAAGTGCGATGGCACTATGGATAACCGTCATTTTTATTTTATTTTTAAATACGTTAAGCAGACCATCCGAGAAGGCACTTCAAATGTAGCTAATCTGCGTTGTGCATGCGAATATTCTCTCATTAAATCGAGGGCGTTTAACCAATTATATACACATGCACAGATGCAATACAATTAATAGATTTTAATGCAAAGTCCAAGGCATGTATGTTGAGCTCCGATTGTTACTTTGGTCCGTGTCATAATTTCAGCTAAAACTATTTTTTATTTTACTTGCTAAGGCCCAACCAAGCTATGGAATTATTTTTCAGGAGTGACCTGGCCACAATTTTTCTCAGCCAAACTCTAAAACGCATGGTTTCTAAAATCTCGAGAATAATCCCATGCAACCACGGGAAAAAACATGCAAACTTCAAATATATTAGGCATCAAGGGTCTGGATCGATCGAACCAACGGACTCCTGCATACCAGGCAAGGGAGTTAACATCTCGCCACCTCAGCACCCCTCTTCCAGTCAACAGCTAACAGTTGCAACGCCAGTTACAAGTCTGCCTAGGAACTGAAAGCTGCCACATGGAATGCGGTGTGGTGCATAGACCTGCCAGTGTTAATTTAATCCACACGTCTGTTCACAAGGAGCCTCTTTTCATCCCGAGCCAACCAGTTTCCATTCGGATCACACAGGTTGATTGCAATTTGTGCAATGCTCCCCCCCAAGGTGTCCAAAGTGGCCATTAACTTCAGTTCTAATTTTGCATATACAATGTACTCTAACATTACCCCTTCCAAAGATGGTGTTAGAAAAAAATAACTTAATGCTGCATGCACTCAAATAGTACATTTTGCCAAGTCTAGGGTTGAACATCCGAATGTGCATCATCAAGGGTGAGAGAGTCACATTTATCTCTGTTGGCAACGCTCGGCCAGGAAACGCCGCACTCATCGCAAGGGCCAGTCGTTACTTGAAAAGACCACCGTTGACATCCTGCACAGGATGGTGCCGTCAATCTTGCAGGGATGGACCAAGGTAATACACATGAATCTAGCAAACACGTACAACACATGTACTGTCCACAACAGGAGTGCGCCAATTCTCCCTCCTCGCTGCAAATCAAATTGCAGCGACTCAAGGCGCCGATCAGATGGAAACGATCGAGTCGATATTGGTGAATATAGCAGCCTCTAGTGGCTGCAGCTGTAACGTCAATCGATTACATGTAACATCCATACACATGAATAAAAACTCAATTATTGCCCATGCATTCGGCTGCCAGTCTCGTGAGCTTCAGCACTGCTGTTAAATCGATTCACCGGTATACTACTACTCTTCGCACAAATACAGAATCTGAACCTAATCATTCCCAATCAAATGGGTCAGTGCTCAACTGCCTTCACCATATAAAAAAGCGGAAATTCCACATTCTAGTGGCGGGTGCCACAGGACAATGTTGCATATCCAACTTACTGGACATGCAAGTTGGATACGCAACTTTGCTTATACAACGCGACGGGTATTGGCGTACATGTGAAAATGTTGGATGCGTGAACATCTACAGTAACATAACAATCACACCGTGCACAAGTACTGCCCTGGGTGCGGGGGGGGGGGTGTCAAATTCATCAGGGCAGATGCGCACAGGGCTGGATACGCGACCTTGTTTGTTCATGTTCCACATTACATTTCCTCGCCGCGAGACGCGTTGCGCGAAACTCCGCGTTAGGGCGCGACACACCGCGCGTCATGCGGGCAACATCTCCGGCCGCCACTGCCTCGACAAATTACGAACACACACATGGCGCTCTGTGCCAGAGGTGGCGGCCAGGCCACCGGCAGGCATGACCGATACCAGGCAGAACTTCTTGCACGCACGCACCCAAGCAAGCAAGCAAGCCCAAACCTTGGCCACTGCTCTGGAAACTTTCAGCCTTTCCAGATGCGAGGAGGAACCCATTGTGGCAATCGCCCACCGGCACCCCCCCCCCTTCCCCAACCATGCAAGGCAAAGGCTCAGGAGGATAGAAATTTGTAAAAGCCGAACGGTTTGTTTTTAGCGCCAATACTTTAGCATGGCTTGTGGATGGGTGAATAACAGCGCCTCAAAATGGGTACCGTATCACTTTAAATGAAAATGTATCAGGCACGTACCGACAAGATAATTTTCACTTGGCTGTTTGTTTAATGCTACTTTCCTGCTTACCTTTGGAAAAAAGTCACTCGACAAAGCAGGGGAAAAAATCTGTAAAATGTCAACATTGTTTGTGGGTGTTGGCAACCCTTTTTCAGTAAAAAATGTAATTACCACTAAAAACAATTACGGGATTAAAATTGACCATGGTACACTTCCACATGTGGAAGAGCCCAGCCCCTGCAGCACATCCAGGCATTGTTCAACAAGGAGAGGGTGGCAATGGCTGGGCCGTGCATTTTATTTTAAGTACAGGCATGAGTGCTCTACCCCCCCCCCCCCCCCCCCCCCCCGTCAAAACATTTGAAGGCGAGACCCTGGAGCGAGTG